CAAAACCATTCCATGAAAACTTGTTTCTTTGGACCTGTTTGGAAGTTGCGCCGTTTGGTAACACTTACGTTTTCAGTTTTCTATTTATATTTACAAAAATTTTAAAAACTCAAATAAAAACTTGTTTGATAAAATTTTTGATTTATAAATCAGTGGTCTCAGTTTATAAATTGGGCCAGAAAATGAAAACACAAAAAATGTGTTTTCATTTTGACGTGTATGGAGGGATTTTTTTACCACCCAACATAGCACACGCCACATTTTCCACCACCACCACCCACCCCCACTCACCCACCACCACCGACTCCACCTCCTCGCTGTCGCCACCGCCACCGCCCCGCACTGCCACCCACCACCACCACCTGCCATCCCTCCACCCACGCCGACCACCGCACTACCACCACCGCCCACACCACCACCATCCAACACCTAACTTGCACCCAACCACCACCCACCCACCACGCACCAGACCCATCCATTTGCCACACCTCCACCCGCTCAGAGACACGCACCACCACCATACTACACATCACCACACCACCACCCGCCCACCCACCACCACCCACTCGCTCCACCTACCACCCGCTATCGTCACCCACCTACCCACCACACCACCATCGCCATCCGCGCGCCACGGCCACCACCACCGGCAACCACCACCACCACGGCCACCGTCACCCACCACTCACCTTACCACCCACCATCCACCCACCACCACTCGTCATCCGCACCCACCTGCCACCACACCCGCCACCGTACCCACCCACCACCCACCACCACACTACGCTACTTACCCGCCACCACGACTCGCCATCCGCCCCACTGCCACACCACCCACCACCCGCCATCATTACCACCACCACCCACTCGCTACACTCACCCTACCCGCCACCCACCACCAACCCACCGCCACCTCACGCCACCACCCCGCTACCCACCACCCACTGTCACCACTTTTCCACCACCGTCTTCCGCCGCCAATTGCCACCACTCTGGCATTCTCACTCTTTTATTATATTTTTAAAATTTTTTAAACATTTTGGTCAATTATTACCAAATCGCGTTTGTAGTGTATGTTTTTCTAAAAATAACAAAAATTAAACAAAAACCAGTTTATAAAATTTTTATAAATATAAACTGAAAACGTAAACATTACCAAACACACAACGTTTTCAGTTTATTTACAAAAATTTTATAAACTGGTTTTTGTTTATTTTGTTTATTTTTAGAAAAACAAAACTACAAACACGTTTGGTTTAGACAAAATGTTTAAAAAAAATTTAAAATAATAAAAAGATGTGAAGAATGGCAAGTGGTGGCAGGTGATGGATGGTGACAAGTGTGGCGGTGAAAGACAGTGTGGAAAAATGATGGCAGTGGTGGTGGTGGACATAGAACGGTGGTGGAAATGGTGACAGGTGGTGGGGTGATGGTGGCAGAAGACGGTGTGGAAGTGGTGGCAAGTGGCGGATGGTGGGTGGTGTGACGGAAGAGGTGGTGGAAAGTGGTGGCAAATGGCGGTGGTGGCGGCGGAAGCGGTAGTGAAAGCGGTGACGAGTGGGTGGACTGTGGTGGCAGGTAGGTGGCGAGTGTGGATGGGTGGGTGACGGTGCGGGTGGTGGTGGTGGCGAGTGGGTGGTAGTGGTGACAGGTGAGTGGTTGGTGTGGTGGCGGGTGGGTGTGGGATGATGATGGTGGTGGTGGGTGGTGGGTGATGATGGTGGTGGTGGGTGGTGGGTGTGGTGGTGGGTGGTGGCAAGTGGGTGGTGGTTGGTGGCTGGTGTAGCCAGATGGGTGGTGAGTGGTGGTGGCGAGTAGGTGACGGGTGGTGATGGCGGGGGGATGGATGTAGTGGCAGGTAGTGGGTGGTGACGGTGGGTGCAGGTGGTGTGGGGGTGGTGGTGGTAGCGGGGGGTGAGTGGTGGTAGCGAGTGGATGGCAAGGTAGGTGGTGAGTTGGTAGTGGTGGTGGTGGTGGTGACGGGGTGGGTGGTGGTAGCGAGTGGGTGGTGGTTGGTGGATGGCAGGTGGTGATGGTAGGTGGTGCTGGCGGTGGTGGCGAGTGGGTGGTGTTGGTGGGTGGCAGTGGTGGTGGTGGCGGTGGTGCGGGGGGTAGGTGGTGGTAGGGTGTGGTGGCAAGTGGGTGGCAGGTGGGTGGTGGGTGGCAGGTTGGTGGTGGTGGGGTGGTGGGGTGGTGGTGGCAGGTGAGTGGTGGTGACAGGTGGTGGTAGGGGTGGGTGGGTGCGGAAGACAGTGGTGAAAATGGTGGAGGGTGGTGACTAGCGTTGGGTGGTAAAAAAAAAAAAAAACTCAAAACTCAAAATGTAAACTCATTTTTTGAGTTTACATTTTTTGGCCAAATTTATAATTTGAGACCACTGATTTATAAATAAAAAATTTACCAAACAAGTTTTTATTTAAGTTTTTAAAATTTTTGTAAATATAAACTGAAAGCGTAAGTGTTACCAAACGGCACCTTAACATTCTTTTCGCAATGCAAGTTTTTAAATCAACTTTCAAAGTTTAATGTAATCAAATGAATTGATATGCCAATTTCACAAGATGAATATAAATAGTACTTTTATTCCAATTCATCATCCAAGGAATAACACAATTCCCTCTTCTCAAGTATCCTCGACAATTAGTTATTTCAAGACTATTTCAACGTTTTGAACAATAATTTCCAAAATGAACAACAATTCGCATATTCCCTGAAATTCATCATTTATATAAATATAAATAAGAAAATTTTCCAAACATTCATTTATTTTGACACACAAAATAAATATAGCAATATCATTCATGGATTTTCAGTCTCCTTTAATTTTTTTTTCCAAATTCTAGGTTTTCTTACCAAAACTATACAACTCAAATCTTTTGAAAGAAAACTTTCCAAAATCATCTTTTCTTCAATCAACGAAGATCAAAACTTATAAGATCATTTTAGAAGAACAAGAGACAAACTCACTTTCAAAATCACTCAACTTCTTGAATCAACAATCAATTTTCAAAGCTATCGAAAGATGATTTCGCAAAATCATATAGATCTTGCAAAAATATATATATAACTTTAAGAAAATCACTACCTCAAGTTTTGAAGAATAAATGAGATAAAACCCCCAAAATCAATGGTGTCAAAACTCGATCTTCACCGCACATAATGAAGCCCTCAAGAAGTTAACCAACTTTGATGAAGTGCTTATGACAGAACTCTAATGGATCTTGAGAAGTCAAGGTTTTGATCCAATTTGGCGTAGGGAAATGGATAGGTAGAGAGAAGGGAGAGGAAAAGGTTTTTAGAGAAAGAGATATATACAAAAATGATCTGAAATATTAGATTCACGAACTGATATAACATGGTTCGCTCGAACGTGCAAAGCCCCGCTCGAGCGTCAAATATACTTTCCCAGTACTTTTGCAGACAAGTCAAATTTCTGAAACCAAACATTCTCCGTTCAAGCGCATATACGGCCGCTCGAGCGCATAAATAGCCGCTCGAGAGGACAAGCAACTTCTAATGCATTTTGCATTTTTGCTTTAGGGACGCTGCCCCTCAACCCCACCAGGGCGCTGCCCCTAGGACCCGCCAAGGGGCGTTGCCCCCTGGACCCCCGCGAGCTGACCAGGCAGCTCGATCCCCGCCAAGGCGCTGCCCTTGGACCCGCCAAGGAGCGCTGCCCCCTGGACTCCCGCGAGCTGACCGGGCAGCTTGATCCCCGACATACTTAGCGAAGTGGCAAAACTGGGATTGCTGCATGAGAGTTATTATGAGAGTATTACTTTGCAAGCAATAGAGGAGTATAGAGTGTGTAGCAAGCAAAGTGACAACAATGGAAAAAAAAACTAGGGTTTAGTTTTTTTAGTCAAAAGGTCTACACTGAGATTTTTTTTATTTTTAAAAGATGTTTACAAATAATATTTTCATATAATATTGTAGGTGTTGGTAGATATCTATTATTGTCATTTTAATTTAGAATATAATTATCATTAAAATAATATTTCATTAAGTGTGTATATCGAGATAATTACGTGTGTGAAAATAAAATTTCCCATTAAACTCAATGTAGATATATGTAAAATATCTAAAATACCCTTTTTTGTTGAGCTTAATGACTAAGCTATCATTTTTTTCATCAAATTTACTTAACGAAAATAGGCAGATGATTTAAATTGAAAATAAATCAAAAGATTAAGATTTAAGGGTAAATTGTGCAAACGGTCTCTTTAGTTTATACAATGTGTCAATTTGGTTCCTGTTATTTTAATTTGCTCGATTTTGCCCCTTAATTTAAAAATATTGTGTCACATTAGTCTAATAAATAATAGCTGTTCGGTTTGGTAGGCAGAAAGTCGTCACGTGCTCAAACGATGTGTCAATTTGATCCCTGTAGTTTACACAATGTGTCAATTTGGTCCCTATTATTTTAATTTGCTCAATTGTGACAGAGACCAAATTGACACATCGTGTAAACTATAGGAACCAAATTGACACATTGTTTGACTTTTCGTCTACTAAACCTAATAGTCATTATTTATTGGACTAATATGACACAATCTGTTAAATTAAAGGGCAAAATCGAGCAAATTAAAACAACAGAGATCAAATTGATACATTGTGTAAACTATAGGGACCAAATTGACACATCATTTGAGCATGTGGCAACTTTTCGTCCACAAAACCTAACAACCATTGTTTGTTGGACTAATATAACACGATTTGTTAAACTAAAGGCATTCGGAACGGACGACACGTGCCTACATGACGTAAGTGCATTAAAGTCAGAGCCCCCAAAATCCTAAACCTAATGCTGCAGTCGACAAATAAAACCTATCCAAGGGATAATACATCGGCAGGGATGTTGACAATCTCTTGCTTAAAAAATAAACCTATAAACAATTTCGCTACCATACATACATAACAAAAATATATAACTAGACATAGAGTAGAAAAGAAAAGGAATTCACATTAAAAAATAGAAATCCATAGCATTTGTACAAAAAGAAAAGGAAAAAAAAAAAGAAAAAAGAAAAAAGAAAATGAACAATGGCAATTCTCAAAATTACATACAAAAAGAAAAAAAAGAAGAAGAAGAAGAAGAAGAAGAAGAAGAAAAGCTAAAAATTAATTCTTCAGTTGGTAGCCGGGGAGATCATCTCTGCCAACATCAGCAACCTCCACATTTGGGTTCTCCAAGGCCTTAGGACGGGGGTAGGAAATGTTCTTCATCAGCTCGGACCCCTTTAGAACCTTAGCAGCTTGAAGAACAGCCATCCATTCATCCTCAAAAAGGATGTTCTCCAGCTTGATGAACTGTTACTCATAGTTGGTTGTGGCCTTATTGCATCTATCATCCTTTGTAACTTTAATAGTTGCCTCATCACTGGCCTTGGACGCATCAAAAACAGTGGAGCGCTATTATATTTCCTCCTTTAGGACGACAATCTCTTCAGCAGAGGACTTTAGCACAACATCTATTGTTTGAAGTTTTTTCTCTGCCTCCACTGCCTTTCCTTCATAAGCCACTAGTCTAAGCTCTAGCTTCTTCACCCTTTCATCCAGCCTTTTTTTAGAGGACTTGAGCTTGTCAGCAGCTTGGACGAGTCTATCATGATGATACATGGCCTCATGAGAAAAATAAAGACACTGTAAAAATAAAGTGTTAGCAAAGCAGGAAGTGTGAAAAAGAAGGAAAATAAAAACAAAGAACAAAACACATACCACCAAAGAAAAGTGCAGGGCTTGGGAGAATATGGCCACATCAGACTGATCGCGCAGTCAACCATCGTCTGCTGAGAGAATGAAATTGCGGACCACGGCAGAAGCCACTTCGACATCGCCAATCGCAGAATTAGTGCTGAAAGTGGCCGGTCCTTCAGAGCTGGCATTAGAATAAGAGGAGAGCTGGCAAACGCTACCTCTTGAGAGGATATAACAACAAGAGTGAGAGAAGGGTCAACTCGACGCTTCACACGTTCCTCTGTTGATTGTTCGACTAGGCACTTACCAAAGCTCAGATCGGGAGGAGGAAGATCAGGACTAGTTACTGCAAGAAAAGGGGCAAGAGGGGAATCCTCAACCACTATGATTGGTGATTGTTTAGAGGCAGCCAAAGTGGTGGATACTGATCCACCCTCTTTCTGACACTTCCGATCAGCAAGGATGACCAGAAAATTCTTCGGCGACATGATTTCAGAAATGGTAGCCTTATAATTTAAAGGATCCTCTTGGATTTGTTCTTCCTCTGCAGCAAGGACCTCTTCAACCACTAGCTCCTCTTCAAGATGAGGGAGCAAGTAGAAATCGACACCACCGTCAGCTCTGATGGGGATTCCTTCAGTAGTAACAACAATGTAGCACGTAAGAAAGAAGGACATAGGCTGCCCGACCCTTGGCCACTTTGCTTGGAAGAGCCTCTGTTGCTAAAGGAATGAGATGTTAGCCTAGTCTTCTTATTCAGTGGGATAAGCGAAAATTGTGAAATCTACAAAACAGGAAATAAAGAGCAAGTTATTACGAAAAATCCACAATGAAAGATATTAGAACTGTAAAAAGATGCCAAACAAAAACAAAAGGAAAGCGGATTGTAACCTGGTCGACCGAAGACCTTGGATATGGGCCATACCCTATCAGCACCAAAGGAAAACTCTCTGTTTCCCTCAACAATCGCAATAATGTCATTCACACAGAGTTAGAGAGCATTTGAACCAACTGGCGTTTCTTATTTTTGGGCTTGAAATAAAAATTTAATCTTTCCTTGGTGGTTGGGACAAAGTTGTAGCAATATCTAATCTCTGGGAGCCTAGGTTTATCCTCAAAATTTCGTTCAAAGTAACTATCTCCATCACTATCCTAAAGAAATTAGGAGCAAGCTGAGTAGGGGGAACACTATAAAAGCAAAGTACCTCCCTCGAAAAAGGGGGTGTAGGGGAAAGCGGACACCCTCGTCAACAATGTCAATAAAGGCAGAGGTATCCGAACCTCAGACTCCTCGACAATGTCGTCATCATCAGTAGGCAAACGAACGACGACATTATCTGGAATATGGTGGAGAGTTTTAAACTCATGAGGTTCTCCTCAGAACCAAAGAAATTTATAAGGCGATTCATATTTTTAAAAAGGAAAGACAGAAATAACAACAAAAATCAATAGATAAATGATAAAGAGAAAAGGGAACTTACATGGAGTAAGGAAAAGAGCCTTAAATGCATGAAATTTGAATAGACATTAGAGAGTCTCTGAAAAGAGTGCAAGCAAAATGATGTAAGGGAGAGTCACCTCCCCATTTAATGTGTCAGAAGAGAAACGGCGAATAAAGGGACGGTTGTTACCATTATGGCCCCACTAGCACATGAAGTGAAGAGACACGTGTCAGAAGACCTGGGAGTCCCGCGTGCTATACGTTGGAACTATTTGATCGGCATGAATGCTTCAGTAACCTTCTAAGATCGATCACCGAAGGGGGGAAATTGTTGAGGGAAAAAAGCATGAGCCTAGGCCTAAGCCCAATCGCGCCAACCCAAGCCCAAAATGATAAGTCTAAAATGCATCTCTTGGAGTGTTAGGTGAGCACTTATTGCTTTCGCATATCGTATGCGTGTGATTGTTGCCATGTCAAGTATGATTACCATAAGGCTAAGTGCTTAATTGATATACCTATTTGACTGCCAGTGGATGAAGGCTAAATGCTTGAATTGAGATGATTTGATTAATGTGTATATGAGCTCACTTTTTCAAGTGGTACATATTCAAAACAATTTTCAAACAAATATGAAATTAAAACGTTCTAAATTTTACAAATTAGTCTATACTTGTGTTCACCACCTAGTAAGTTAGCATAATAATTAGAAGAAAAGCATATAATGTAAATAAGAATCACATCATGATTAGTAGAGGTCGATTTTTGATCGGGCGAGTGGGGTGCTCAATTCATGACCGTCCCCTCTCGTACTTAAGTTCTCGAACCAAGACATTTTGGTGATGATGGATAAGTGGCCTTTGGCACGAGTCTTGGGTTTCTTAAATTTTTCAAAAATATTTAGGTGGCGACTCTGTAATCTGGCAAAATAGTTCATTTTTGGCATTTTGATTCAAAATCAATTTTTCAAAAGATTTTTCGGATTTGGACTCATTTGTGTTTATCTATTTCGCATCGTACATGTGGAATTAAATTCAAAACCACGGGAGTCCGAACAGTAGAACTAGTCGTATCTGAAAAGAACATGAAAAGCAAGCTACACCACCGCATCTTAATTTTCTAAGTCATAACTAAAAAAAAATAAAAATTTCATAACTAAATATAATATGATGCATAACTAAAGAACTCCTGAATCATAAATAAAGAAGAAAATTAATTATAATTAAAAATAAAATAGCATAAGTCATATGGTACATTTTTTTTAAAGGAGTGTATAGAAGGGAGATTCTACTATAAACACTTTTTACCATATGCACCATAACTTATGTCATTTTTTCTTTTAATTATAATTTTATTTTTATTATGATTCATAAAATATTTAATTATACCTCATATGTTTTAAAAATATAAAATTATATTGTATATTATGATTCATAAAATATTTAATTATACTCATATGTTTTAAAAATATAAAATTATATTGTTTTTCTTTTTAATTATAGAATAGCAATGCAACGATTGGAAAAAGAGAGGCAAATAGTTGGAAATAAAAGCTGACGGAGAACAGAGAGAGAGGAGAGAGAGAATGAGCGGAGTAGGGAAGACGGTGTGTGTGACGGGAGCGTCCGGGTACATAGCTTCGTGGCTTGTCAACTTGTTGCTCCAACGTGGTTATACTGTCAAAGCCTCTGTTCGCGACCCTTGTCAGTTCTCTCTCTCTCTCTCTCTCTCTCTCTTACTTTGATATCTAATCCTGTTGGCTATCTTGATTTCTTTGAATACCCAATACCTGATTTTGCTATGCGATTCACTTCCCTTGGATTAGTGCTAGGTTTTATATATATAATTTGTTTTTGTGCTGTTTTGGGGATGTTTTTATTGGGTAATTTTATGCGGTTTGTATAAAATGATTTTTTTTTTTTAAAATAAAATAAAATTTAGAGAATATTTTAATTTTGGGAAATTACAAAAAATAAAACCCAAAATACTGCTGAGCTTTTTTTGTTTGTCCAGTAAAATCAAATTTATTTTTAATCTAAATTATTTATATTTTTGTTATTAAACTCGCATATTTTAAACATTTTATGTACAATTACGTGTTTAATGATTAAAATATATTTTCGTTGATTTTACTTAATAGAACATAGAAATAGGGTTTATTGTTTAGATTAAAATTATAAATTAAAATATTAAGATTTAAATTGACAAAATAAAAAATTTAAATTTTATTTTATTATAAGGGTCATACTTGTGAGTGTTGATATGCCATTGGGAAAAGTAGTTTTTAAAACCCAAATTAGATGTAGTAATTTGCCATAGTGGGTCATAATTATTGATTTGATTTTATAAAAAAATTGCCAATGGCTGATGTGTTAAATCTTTCAATTATAATTGATTCCTTGAACATTGATGAAATTGTGAGCCAAGAGTAAGCAAATACAAGGCTGATTTACCATACATTGTCTATGAAGAAGTGGTTGCCCACAAGAAATATGATTTTAAATGCTGAAGCAGAGAGATCAGACTATCTTGAACTTTCTAAGACTAAGGCCTCGTTTGGGATAAACATTTTTAGCATGACTGGTTAGTTATTTTAGTCTGGCTAAAAAAATTTTGTTTGGAATAAATATTTGAATTCTTGTTTTTTTTTTTGGTAGTTGATTTGATGGTTGTGAGAGGAAAAATGATATGATTATGATTTGGACGCGACATTTTATCTTATTGGCTAAATTAACCTATTTTATTTTTGTGTTGGCTAACCTCAACCCATATGCCAAACGGAGCCTAAATAAATTTAATTTTTTACATGAATAATTTTTTCAATTGATTGTATAAAAATCAAAGATTTAAATAATCTAAGTTTTTAGTTGGATTATAATGAAATTGTAAAATGTCAAAATGCCATAAGATCAAAACTATACAAAACCAGCCCATACACCCCCCTCTTCTCTCTCTCTCTCTCTCTCTCTCTCCCCATATCTATGTGGGAGTCGTGATTTGGTGTATTTGTTGTGTTGTGAAATTGTGTGTGCATAGTAAATCAAAACATTCAACAAGAGGGAAGCATAATTTATGTTTGGTTATGGATCTTATTGGAGAGGTAGGTACAAGTTCCTATTTAGGTTGACTTAAAAATTAGTTGTGTTACATGGACATTTCTATTTTGTCTCCCTAGTGTGTGGCCTCGTTGGTTTGGCTCCATAGGATGGAAGGGATTAAGAATACGGTGGGATTGAGCGGGGAGATTATTAGTGTGGTGGTAATAGGTTGGAGATGTAGAGTAAAGAGTGTTTATTTGTACACCACCAGATTAGTAATACTATAGATAGTATTAATATATAAAATTAATATTTTTTAATTTATAGTATTTTTTTAATATTATAATTATTAATATTTTTGTACTTTTTAAGTCGAGTTAATCTACAGACACTTAAAAAAATATAAATTTTACATAAAAATTCACTAATTTTAAAAAAATCATATTTTTTTAGTATTTATTAAAAAATTTAAATATTTCTTTCACACATAAATTATTTTAAAAAAATAATATTAAAAATATTTTAATCCATTTGATTTAATATTTTAATCCACTAATGCCATCTCATATGTTTTCCTTTTATGCTAGTCCAAACAAGGAGGGGGATTGCTAGTCCCCTTGGAGTGTTAATCCCATCACAACCAAACACTCTCTTTGTGGCTGGCCCTCCCTCACTATTAGTCCAATCCCCTTACTCATGGAGCCAAACAAACATGGCCTTTGTGTCCACCAGATTTGACCTTTATTTTCTCCAAATCTATCCCCACTCCTCTCCTGATCCTATGTCATAGCTTTAGGCCTCGTTTGGGAACATGCTAATTTAGTAACTTTTTGGCTATTTGGCTAAAAAAGTAGGTAAAAAAAACTTGTATGTTTGGGATGACTTTTTGGCTAATTACGAAAAGATGTGCAAAAAGTAGAGAGAAAAGAGAATCTTTGACTTTTTGGTATGAGTTGTTGGCTTTTTGGCTAATTTAGTAACTTTTTGGCTAATTGGCTAAAAAAGTAAGTCCCCAAACGGGGCCTTAGTGCTTTAATCGATTGTAAATGATGGGTCCAATCAACAATAAGAGAGAGAAATAAGAGAGAGAAGAACCCTAGGTTTTAGAGAGAGACTTTCTCGATCAATCAATGTTCAATATTTAAAAGTTAGTTACAAAATAGTTATCACTTCCCTAGATATAGGCTAACAACTACCCACCACTAACTATCACAGGCCAAGCACATGATGTCCTACATCAGTTTTGTTTCTTATAAAGCTGTTGGTAGTGAAGACAATGTAATCACAAAACAGCTTCTAGCCATCGGATGGTTGTATTGTCAAATTCACTACTTATAATTGTTAGCCACTCACATGCTTATAAACATCAAATATACAGTTACCTCTAGATGCAATCATATTAATGTATGTATTATACAACTATGTGTATGAATTAATGTGTATGAACAAGTACAAAATTCTCACGGTTGAGTCGTTTGGTTCTAATCTTGTTACCAGTTTAATTTTTTCCAAGTTGTCATTGGGAAAGGATGTTTCATGCTGACATGGACACAATAGCTGTATCCTTTTATTGATTATGGCTACACTTTATTAGTTTTTAGAATTATTTGTTACTTGATATTCATCTGCAGCTGATCCAAAGAAGACAGAGCACTTGCTTGCACTTGAGGGAGCCAAAGAGAGACTTCACTTGACTAAAGCAAACCTACTGGAAGAAGGTTGCTTTGACTCTCTGGTTGATGGGTGTGAAGGTGTTTTCCATACAGCATCTCCTTGTTATCATGATGTCAAGGACCCCCAGGTTCATCCTATATCTGTTATCTATAAATAGATATATTGTTGTGTTTTCTTTTATGGTGGAACTCTCATGTGTTGATTAAATGGTTTGAGAATTTGCAAAAAATTCTAAAAGTAAATTTTTTACCTTTTCCTCAAAAAGTGCGGTTTCAAACATTGTCACATACGTGTATTATGCATTGTACTATTCAAAGATTAATCTCAAGTACAAGTTAGATGCAGACAAGTTGAAGGTGTGAAGTTATTTCGATCCACGGAAACTTGAGGATGAGTTTTTTTATTTTTTATTTTTTAATTTTTAGGAGGCAGAGAATGATGTAGAACAAGAGTTTTGTAATTTTTACATTTTATTTTATTATTTTGGAATTAGATTTCGACTAGGATTTTGTTAATAGTCCATAATTCTTAGTTTCTTATTCTAGTTTGTATTTGTATAAGTTTTCTAATTTATTTTAGAATTACTTTTCCTAGAAGTATTAGGTTTAGTTTATTATAATATGTGTAGGCAAATGGGCACAAGGAAGCTATTCATTCAATCAATAACAATAACAACCTTGAATTCAAATATTATAAACTCAAGGGAAAATACTATTGATTGAACGAATAACTTCCCATGCCCATAGGCTTGCACATATATTTATAATAAATTGAACTTAACAGGAAAAGTAATTCTAAAATAAACTAGGAAACTTAAACTAATACAAACTAGGAAACCTAAGAAAATAAGAAAGTGAGAAGGAAAATGATATGAAAGTCAACTTTTTAGACCTACTTTCTTGACACATCACCGGGTCTAAAAAGTGCGTGTAACTTTTGGGCCTAAATAGCAATGCTCAACTAAGAATTCTACACTATTTAACAAAATCCTAGTCAATCTAATTCCAAAATAATAACAATAAAATATAAAAATTCTAAACCTCTTTTCCTACATCATTTTGTCCCTCTTAAGAAAAAACTTGTCTTTTCCATGGATCGTAAAAACTTCATGTGCTTCAACTTGTTTGCATCCATCTTGTACTTGAGATTAATCTTTTCCATTATTTGACTTTGAGGAGAATTTAAGGATGCTTGTTTCAAGTGGAACTTGTGGGTAAAATGGATTGTAGTGAATTTTTTGATTGATTTTAGTAGTACATACGTTTACTAAGAAGACTAGATCAACTATATTGCTTGAGAATGCACCGCTTGGTTTATCCAAGAATACTTGTAATGAGTAAACTCAAAAGTCCCATAGGTTGGCTGATGTAATGTTGGACTAAATATCTTGGGTTGAATTGAAGTTGCCAACTAAATAAATTTTGGAATTTTTGAAAGCAACATCACCATCCCTTATAAAGGGAACTTCCATGCATGCAATGGACACATTGAACATCCTCTTGTTCCTTTTCGTCATAGAACTCTCCACTGCCACCCTCATTCACTCCTAAGGCGGCCTTGACTCTTTTTTCTTCCATATTCGGTGGTCGCTAGCGTGTCGGTGTCTTCCATATTTCAGAACTCTCCTTCATCACCCACGCCACACATAACATAAACAGGCACTTGAATAATTAGCATGGACCATCAATTGCAGCAAAATGGCTTATTGACTGTTAGGGCCTAACAACTTTTTTCAAAGGCTTTTAGAGCTTATGCTATTTCTTTAGCCACTGACTAAACATGGCATTGTTTGCTTATACTGCAAAAAGCATTCTTGTCTAGAATTTGTTGCCCATCTATAAAAGCTTGTTGGCAGTTGTTTCCAATATCATTGAGTGCATCCTTTTAGAGACACTTTCTGGTTTGAGTTATTAACCCTAAACTCTAAATTTTGTTTTTGTTCTGCCGATTGGCTTCTCTTATCTTTTTATATGTGTGGTTGTATCGTAAAACATTGTTTTTATTATAAAATATTTAGGATGTTGTTCTAGTTCCCAATTTCCAGTTAGTTGTATCAAACTGTAATTTCTATTAAGGATATTTGCTAGTGGACTTGTTCATCTGGTGCCATGGAAAAACATGTTTTGTTATTGATAAGAGCAATCTTTACAACCTTGAGTATACATACATATATGCTATCTTTTTGATTTGTTAATAAGCATGCCTTTTATTCTGTGTTTGTTATCTCAACTATTCCTCACCTCATTTCAGGTGGAATTAATTGATCCCGCATTGAAGGGAACACTTAATGTTCTTGGCTCATGTGCAAAAAACCCATCTGTGAAAAGAGTAGTGTTGACATCTTCTGAAGCTGCCATTGCTTTCAATGGTAGGCCTCGATCTCCTGACGTCGTAGTTGATGAGAGTTGGTTTTCTGATCCAGAGTTCTGCAAGCAAAATAAGGTGTGTATGTATTGTTTATTCATTGTCTGTTGATATATAATTTCCTTGTACATATGGATGCTTAATCCAGGGCTGGCAAAAGTTTGAGCTACCAGCAACCCACATTCACAGGACCAAAACTAGGAAATGAGCCCCTTCCCATTTTTTTTTTTTTGGGGGGGAAGCTCAGCCTATTGTATCACTAGAGTGGTGTCAATCTAAACATATATTAACCTGGATTTGCATGCCATTTAAATGTGTTTAGTGCATTATAGAAATGTTCAAAGTTTAGGGTACTTGACAATCTGAGTTTTGAAGTTCTTAATGTCCTTGTTTCATATTCATTGATGCTCTCACTTGAAAATCTGGCCACTTAGACACCTCAAGAATTTTGGTTTTCTATGTTCTTTTAGATCTTGTTTGAACAAGTGATCTAGGCCAACAAAATCGAAGGAAAAATAAAAAAAATGAAAAAAAATCCTATGTCCATCATCGTAATACATCATTTGCCCCTACAACACAGTGTTTGTTGTTTTCAATGATCTATTTTTGTGTAAATTTTCAAAGGTAGGATTTTCAATGAACCATTCTGCATGAAGGGCCATAATTTTGTTTTTTTCAATCTATATGCTTTGTATGATTGTTCATAATTTGCAATTGTAATGGCTGTTATTTCTATTCTGTTGCATGCTTCTGTGTTTTCCCATCCCCTTTTTTTCTGCTACCAGCTTTGGTATGCGCTGTCAAAGACTTTAGCAGAGGATGCTGCCTGGAAGTTTACAAAAGAAAAGGGTATCGACATGGTTACAATTAACCCAGCAACGGTTATCGGTCCTCTCTTGCAGCCAACGCTCAATACAAGTGCTGCTAGAATTTTGAACTTAATAAATGGTATGTGTTCTTTATATTTTATAACAGACGCATGTAATCTGTTCTCATTTATGGATGACGTGACATTTTCTTTCAGCTAATTATTCAGGAGGAACTATGTTTACTTTTGTGAAACAACATACTTATATTTCTGTTGAATCAAACTATTCCCCCAAGAAGTTGTATATTGGGCTTTGGCTTCTCTTTCCTTCATTTCATGATATGTATTTGTTGATGAGTAACATAAATAAATAAATAAATCTATAATGTAATTTTCCTAGGAGCATTTTAATATTCTTCCATCTAGAAATAGTTGTTGCTGAAACTTGAAGCATAAAAATTTAGTTGAATTAATAAGGCTTTTGCCATATTTTATTTTTTGCAAAATGTTGTGGAACTTCTTTTTAAGGGAATAATGGACCTGTTTATTTGCTCCTTTATTCTGCAGGTTCACAAACATTTCCAAATTCTACATTTGGATGGGTTAATGTTAAAGATGTTGCCAATGCACATATTCAAGCATTTGAGATTCCTTCAGCTAATGGAAGATTTTATGTGGCTGAGGGCGTTGCACACCTCTCTGAAGTTGTGAAGATACTGCAAGAGCTGTTTCCTGCTTTTCAACTTCCAGAAAAGTAAGTGATTTATCTCGTATTCAGTTTATTAAACTCTGCTTCAATGTTTCTTCTTCTTGAACTGTTTAGTATGTTGTTTCAATTTGTTTCAATAGTATTTCCCTTACCTTTTCTAACAGTCTCTATGAGACCCATCTGCTCCTTCTAATTTGTCATGTCATTTTATGTGGTTTTCACATACTACCTTTTAAAACATAGTTGATGGGACAAGTATAACATAGCCGATGAGATAAAAGAGGCTCAGTTGGAAAGTTCTTGAATTGTATCATTTTCTTGAAGTATATACATTGCCTCCTATAGTTTTGACTATTTGAAGAAGTTTTAGCATAATATGATATTAAACGTTGTGCAAGTTGCAAGAAGTCCTTGAGCGTTTAATGCAAGCTATAATTTAACAAAATGAGTCTAGGATAATAAATAGATAAGGAGCCATTGACTTCAACTTTAAGACATTTTTTTAACAATTCAGCCATTTTAAAACTTCTCCTGTGTCTTTTCTTTCATCATATAAATTATTTGTTTTAATGTTATTAATGCTTTTATCAAAAGAAAAAAAAATGTCTAACTTTAACAAAGTAATTAACCTAGCTCCAAAAAATAATAATAATAAATAAATAAATTTCCAGCAATTTGGGCCTGGCCCAAGTTCACATATTATGCTCAGTTCAGGCTTAGGTACACAAGGTTGGGTTGCAAGTTGAGCTTGGGCAACATTCAACCCAACTTGCGCTAAGCTTGAGCAATCTCTCAATCCGATTGAGCCCACCCGAGTTGCACCCTTAGACAAAGCCATCCGAGTTGCTAAGCTTCCAATTTCATTGATGATTTGTAGTGTGAATATACATGTAAGATAAAAGTAGGACATGCATGTAGAATATACCCAAATTCCGACCAATATTTTAGATGTCTGGTGACGTTATATATTTATTTATAAATTCAAAATGTTGGGGTACTTGATGTTTTTTGGCTGATGCTATCTCTATGGACATATTTAGATATCAATTGACATGTCTTTAGTTTGATGTCTGTGACCTTTTTATTTGTCCTTTTGGGCTTTTCATGAATAGGCATTGCCAGTTTTACTTTCTTCTTTGCATGCAAATTCTGTGCTGTCGTGCTTCCTTTCCAATAATAATTTGTCATTTTCATTTTGTTGAACTGAATTTCAATTCTTGGATATTGATGGAAAGCTTGGGACCCCGTTTAGTTGTGTTTTCGTTTTCGTTTTATTTATTAGAAAATACAAAAACTTATTTGGTGAACTTTTTGGAGATTTTTTTGAAAAAACACACTTTTCAATAAACACCAAAAAGTCATTTTTGGAGTTTTTGAAAACTGTTTTCACGCAAAAATGGAAAATGTTTTTGTTTTTGGAAAATAAAGAAAGCTTAAACACAACCAATTTTCTTACTCATGACTCTGTTTGGTCTTCTGGATTTTGAACTTGGCATGTGATCAAACAAATTCTTGTACATTATTTTGCATCTTTATTTATTTATATTGGGAATCCTAAAAATTGGTCTACAGTATTGTCTACTGTGTTGCTATTTTTCTGTCTTTAGTTAGTGTTAGCACATTCTTTCATAAGATTTATTTTTGTCTTTCAGCGTGCTTCTCTCTTTTTGTAACCATCACTAATGTTCCATTGAGGTTTTTCTCTTTTTAATTAATTTATTTATTTTTAAAATGATAACATAAGTTTAGATACATTTTCCAACAATATCTATAGTAGATTGATCAATAGGTGTTAGCAGTTGATCGATATTGAGATTTGAACCCTTTGATAGTAGTTAATGTTCATATTTTAGATGGAAACCCTTTGAGATTTGAACCCTTTGAAAGTAGTTCATTCACTAGTTGTGTTCATTTCTAACATGTGCCCCTTTTTTTTAATCTATATCTTTGGGATAATCTTTGTAGGTGCGCTGATGACAAGCCATTTACACCAACTTACCAGGTGTCTAAGGAAAGAACAAAAAGCTTAGGTATTGAGTTAATTCCCCTCAAGCAGAGCATCAAGGAAACAGTTGAAAGCTTGAAGGAGAAGAAACTTTTCACTTGGTGAGTTGTGGCAGCCATATCGGATAAAATGAGGTTTGAGCCACAGCATTGTTTGTGGCATTCCTCCGTGTGCGTCTCCATTTTGTTTCTCCCAACATCGTTTGGGGCATTCCTCTGAGTTGTGGCAGTCATATCGGATAAAAATAAGTATGCATATTGTTTTCAAATATTTACCCAAATTGTGGAACCACTTTTTGATACTGCTATCAGTTGAAAATTGGAAACCTTGTAATTAGTATTAACTGCTGCAATACAGACCTGTTCTGTCTGGGGCTGTAGGTCCATTGGGGATCTCACTCCAATGGTCCATACTGTTTATCTATTAGGTACCCTTTTTCTATTAGTTCCTTGTGCTTGTGAATAGATTATTCATAAATAAAAAAAATATTAGATTGATCTGATAATTGTGGTTACATATAGACAGTTCATGTGTTTTTAGAAGACAATGAAATAAATGGTTACAATTATTGGTTCAAGTTATTTTTCTTTTCATAGATTATTTAAAATGAATGATTTGGATCATAAAAATTATAACTATATGGTTTAGACGTTCTAGCGAGTGTCACTGCATGATTATTAAGGTTGCAAATGAACAGAGCCGTTTGTGAACAGGCTCAATCTTGAGTTTGGTTTAGTAAGAACTCGTTTGAACTTGGCTCGTCAAATATTTTTGAGGTCGAGTTCGAGCTCATTAAAATTTTTATAAACAAGTCCAAATTTATTAAAATTCGGCTTGTAAGCTCGGCTCATTAGTTGGTTAGTTTAACATTTATTATTTATATATTAAATAATGTAAAAATATGTATAAAAAATAAGATAAATATGTTATTTATATGTAAATAACAACTATGGATAATACATTTATATAATAGTGGTGGTAGATATTATTATTTTAGTAAAATATTCTTCTTCGTTTTTTTTATTTTATTTTTTTATAAAATCTTTATATATATATTGTATATATAATTGTATAATCAAAATTTTAATTATAATTTTAGTTTCATATGTAATTATGAATTTATAAACTTTTTGGTTTGTTAAGGTTTGTTAACAGGCTTGAGGTCGAGTTACGTCCAAATAAATTCGGCTCGAGTTCGGTTTGTTAAATTTTTATTGAGTTCGAGCTTGAATTCGAACCCATTAAAATCAACGATTATGAATAAAGCTTTAGGCTAGGTTTGACATCTTCTAAAAAAGTTAAAAAGTCTCTATCTTATTTAAGTCACATCATCTTATTTAAGTCATATCATTTTTCTACCACATCACTTCCAACTCAATTTATATTTCATAAAAAGTCAAAAAGTGCACTGATTTAGAACATTCCAAACAACTCCTAGTTTGCTTTGGAAGGTAGCAAAACACGAAGGGGTTTTGTAATATTTAAAATTTTGTTGAAGCGAACCTTTTTTATATTTTATTTTTCTAAATGTTTTAACTTCAATTTTTACTACGAGGGTGGAAAGAATCTTTGGTGTTTGATTCCTTTTATAATTGTGAGATCAGGGAACATAAGGTCAATATCTTCCTTCGGAGTGTAAAAATGACTCGTGGGGGTCTCGAAGCCCGCTCGCGGTTCGAGGTCGACCCAGCCTGTTTAGGCCCAAGCCCAGCCCGAGCCCTTGGGCTTGGGCTTGGGCCATTGTTTTAAAGCACAGCCTGGCCCGTGGGCTTGACCCATCGGCCCGTTCAAAGCCCACTTAAAAGCCCGGCCCACCTAAGGCCCAATGTCACTTTTAATGAAAAATAATAAAATTTTGATGGAAAAAATAAAAAAAAAATTATAGAGCCCAAGCCCAGTCCCAACGGCCTGGCCTGAGTCCTAGCCCATTAGTTCGCCCAAAATGCAAATACCCCTGGGCTTGGGCTTGGGCTTAGGCCTGGGCTTAGTTTTTTGGCCCGTCCCGATTAGCTTGTACAAAAAATGCCCTAAATGCTTATATCTTTCCAAGATGATACTTGGTTGTAACAAAAGTGAATTTAAGTCCAATACAGTTAACGCCATTGGCTTGTACAAAAGTAAATACACAAAAGAGGCTCTCGCTACAAGTCCTCCTAAGCTCTTGCCTTGGAAAAGGCATATCATCAACACCTGAAATGTTTTTCCCACACAGCCTAGTAGAGATAAACCAGCACAATATATGAATTTTAACGAAACTATAAGGTAAATGCATATGTAATATTCGTGCCAAAACATTTTACATCTCTTTTCCAAAACCATGTAATGCCAAATAAATATCATACTTCATAAGTCATTTCCTTAACAATGGAAAATGAGGCAGTGAATCAAACTCTGGGACTTTCAAAACAATACAACCTTTTCTAGAAATTTCGTTTGGAGGAAACCATAAACTAGGACCCATGTAAACGTAGTCATACGAGCACTACTATTGCCATTTCACGGAATTTTTGTCCGCGGGATCAACACCCACGTATACACGCAATTTTTGGGACTTTCACATTGGACACACAGACCAACTTATTTGATGTAACAACAATTGCTTCCTATATTCACTCACATTCTTCAAACAATATACATGTGCAATGTAAAAATGTGAAATAATGATCGATGCAAATGAATGAGAAAATAATTTTAATTCTCGTAATTCACATGCGATTTCTACAATAATCATAGTTATCTTCCACCGATAGCCCAAAACAGATATTTCTAAACAAATAATTTATATTCCTTAAAGATAAACTTTCAAATTTCAATAGGTGAGTGATAATTCATATCTGACTCTACCATCCATATCAATATCTATCCAATTTCACATTTCTAACATCAATTATATTTATTTATACAATATAAACATTTGAGATATTTAGGACAAAACCCTATTTTCTTCCAAAACATATTCCGAGTATCTAAATCAATAATTTTACCACAACTCAACCTCTTTTTCATTCCCACAACCATTTTCAATACATCCATTTAAAAACCCCTTTTTTGATTTTAAACCAAAACCCTAGGTTTGTCCAAACTCCTCTAAAATCAAAAAGTTGTTTTATAAAAACAAATAACTAAGTTAAAAATCATAAAAGAGCGTAAAGAATCCCTACCTCGAAGCTAGAAGACCAAGGAGAGAGTGGAGAAACCTTAAAGAAGCCGAAATCCACTTTGGTTGGATGAAAAAAGAGCCCATGGAGTGTTTTACTTTTTTAACAAAAGGAGTAGGGTGGAGAAATCACTAAATCTTGGTATTTTTGAAAAGAGAAAGTAAGTTTTAGAGAGAGAGCGTCTAGATCTAGAGTTTTTGAAATGTTTAGAGAGAGAGAGATGAAAAAAAAGTGACTTTTACAGACTGATATATGCGCAGATTGCTCGAGCGCAAGACGTGACGCACTAGCATATACAGACAAAAGATGTGACCGCTCGAGCGCAAGAAGCTGTCACTCGAGTGTGAAACACAAACTCCTAGTAGTTTGACAGACAGAAGACTAACGCTCAAGCGCAATAAGGCTGCTCGAGCCAAGACCGCTTGAGCGCAAAAAACTTCGCTCAAGCGTAGAATACCACTTTTGAGTAGTTTTGCAGACCTACAAAAGTACTAAGAGTTAACAAAGACCGCTTGAGCGCTAGAAGTGACTCTTGAGCGTAGGAACAAAATTCTGGGCAACAACAACTCAAAAAAACAAACTACCAACCTGTTCCAAACATGACCAACATACCCAAAAGCCAAACTCAAAGAGAGATAAGGGAAAACATAATATGAACAACTGCATGAGACAATGAAACTCAAAGAGGTGGATGAAAGTATGAACAACATGACCAACATGACCAACATACCCAACTGCATGTTTTGAAAACATAATATTCAAAACATCAAATAGGTCAGGTCCAAACCAAAAACGCTATAACCCCTCCCCCTTAAGGAATTTCGTCCCCGAAATTTTAAACTAAACATTAAAACCATGTTTTAACCAATTACAACAATGGTAATAATTCCAATTCATCACCATGACCAATCCACCGGTCATCAATTCCCATCAACATAATAAACTAGTTTTCAACACTGAATATACAATTCATATTTCCAAAACATATACAATGTTTATATTTCATTAACATAACAAAGTTTTTAATACACGTTCACACATCAATAAATGAGTCCGGATATTTCTCACGGACTTCCACTTCACGCTCCCAAGTGGCTTCCTCAACCCTATGGTGTCGCCACAACACTTTTACCAAAGGAATCGTCTTGCCACGCAAGACTTGGTCTCGAGTATCTAAGACTCTAACCGGTCTCTCCTTATATGAGGCATCCTCATCCACCTCTAACTCAGTCCAATCCAACACGTGTGAAGGATCCGGCTCATACTTTCAAAGCATACATATATAAAATACGTCATGAATCCCGGAAAGCTATGTCGGGAAGGCCAAACGATAAGCTACCTCCTCAATCCGCTCTAGGATCTCAAAAGGCCCAATAAACCTATGAGACAACTTTCTGCTCTTCTCAAACCTCATCAAACCCCGTCTAGGTGATATCTTCAAAAAGACGTGATCTCCCATGTCAAAGGATAACGGTCTCCTCCTACGGTTGGCATAGCTCTTCTAACAACTTTGGGCAGTAACCAGCCTCTTACGGATAAATGCAATCTTCTCAATCATTTCCTAGACTAACTCTGGACCCAACATTGGTGCGTCACCTGCTTCAGCCCAACACACGGAGGATCTACACGGTCGGCCATACAAGGCCTCAACTGATGCCATGTCAATGCTCTACTAAAAGCTATTGTTATAGGAAAACTCCATTAAGGGCAAGTGCCTCTCTCACATACCTTTAAAGTCAAGGACACAACCTCGAAGCATATCCTCAGGGATCTGAATAGTACACTCTGACTGCCTGTTAGTCTGAGGATGATAGGCAGTACTAAAAGTCAACCTAGTGCCCAAGGCATTCTGTAAGCTCCGCCACAACTGAGTCGTAAAATGCAGATCTCTATCCGAAGCAATAGTCACAGGGACCCCATGAATCCAAACTATGTCCCTAATGTAAAGGTCGGCTAAATAATCCACCGAGTCACTCGTGTGCATAGGTACAAAGTGCACTGACTTGGTCAATCGGTCAAGGTATCTAACACTTGAGTCGAATACACGTTCAAGCCCTTCTCTACCTTTCCACTGGAGATCTTCTCCTGGAGGGTTTCTACCTCAAGATCACCCCTCCGTGCTTCTATAACTCGGCTCACAAGTGTAGGTTGTGCAACTATCGAAAACAAAGCTACCCACTCAACGAACTCGCCAAGATACAAATCAAACTCACCAATAGAACCCAACATCTCCCATTCTCAAATAGCAATACAAGCTACACTACTAATGGATTTCCTACTCAAGGCATCGGCCACTACATTAGCCTTTCTCGAATGATGTCCAACTTAAAATCATAGTCTTCCATAA